CATCGTTGCCGAAGACCATATCACCTTTTGTGGTGTTGAGTTGGTTTGAAACTGGTAATGACACTTTAGCCGGAGGAGGAGTCGGGCCAGAATTCAGTGGAGGTAACGCGGTGGTTATCCTTGGGAATTTATTTAACATGCATAGTGAAAAATAAATAATCTTTCAATTCCCACCACGAATCTGCCTTTTGTTTAGATAGAAATTGTGTATAGAATAATAAGTTTGATGAATTCTGTAAACTCCTTTTGGTTATCTTGGAACACGAATAATCATGATCTGCAATTCATAGCTGTCCAATTGTTCAGCTTCCAATGAAAATCTACACAGGGAACAAGAATGAGAGAATTAGAGTTTCTCTTTTCTTGTACTAGCAAGAATATGGATTATGTTCTATTCTTTTCTAAAAACCTAATAGCTTAATAAATATAAGTTCAAGTGGACTTGACTCATCTCTTAAACTTAACTCGATCCAATATTTAATTAATTCAATTAATTAAATTTGATACATGAATTAATTAATTTGGGTATATTAACAAGAACTCAATCAATTAATTGTCCAACACTTGTTAATTAATTAATTGGTGAATCTCATTCTTCTGGTTCTCTTTTTGTATATGACCCATCAGGTTTTCGATCATGATGCCTAACTACGGGAATTATTATTTTGATCTAATTAAAATCGAAAAATTAAAATACAACTTTTAATTTATCACCAATTCACATTCGTTGTCCCAAATTGACATCTAACATTTCGGGCAATACATGTGACAGAAAATATCACGTGGTATGACAAAACTAAACTTATTCGTTTATCGTGAAACTATAATCTCTTCGTCAATATGATCCGATCAATTATAAGATATGGATATGTGTCAATTTCAATTATTGATCATATCTTTCATTCCACTATTAAGTCAATATAAACCGAAAACTCATTTCGACTTATGAGTACACATTGGCTAATGATTTCATTATCAACTTAACTGAATGACATGTAGATCATAATCTCTTACTATCTAAGAGTGACGAATCCTTTATTGATCATTCACAACTTTCATATGATTCTTGACATACCCAAACGATAACATATTAGCAACCATTGGCAGAGCAGCATTCAACATCACCAAAGTATGATTGTCATCATATAAGGCACTATGATACCTCAAATTAAAGGACCAATTTCACTACCGAACGTTAGAGATTAACCACGACACTCAGATAGTTCTTCATGTGAAATCTCCCAGTGGGTCTCCAATGTTTTGTTTTATAACAAAACACCCATGTGTTCATTCAAGTGTCACCAAACTTTTAACTTGTGAGATCAGTTACTTACTTTTCAAGTAAGAAATGTCATACGTGATAGTCTATTTGAAATAACTATATCCGTATCTCGTTATTACATACGACCACAGACGATTTAAGATTCAATCAT